GCTGTAAAAGTGTGTAGCTTTATATGGATGTGTTAGTGTTTCTTTCTCCGTCGGGAATATTAATTGATTTCTTTTAATAGTGTAAATTTGTGGTTCTATTTTTCAATATTAATTTTTTTTTTATGTTTTTATGTTGTTTTTTGTTCTCTTTCATTGTTTCTATTTAGGGTTTTTAGGGTTTCTACGACAAGACTTCCAAAAAGTGATGCGTTTTTATTTGGTCTTCACTACGTTTCTGCTGTTACTGCTATTTCAGTGCGTCAGGAGTTCTTTGGCAGTAACGGAGTACCATCATTGTATCCATGACTTTATTACTGAACGTTTGTCGTCGCCAGAACCTGATATAAGAATGTCCCATGTTTCAGCACCCCGGCGGAGTGAAGCTCGTTCATCTGATGGAGGCTTAAAGCTTCCTGAAAGGAGTTTTGGTGATGAGGGCTGGAAAAGGATTCGTATCGGTGTTTTCACCCATGATTTGGAAAAGCAAGGACGATACTGTGCTAAAAAGGATGATGAAGTTGTCAATGATTTTGATAGCAAACATACATGCACTGAGGAGGATGTCTTAACACCTGAAAAGAAGAATATTCTTGTTAATACGATCCTCAAGGAAGCAGTGCAACTACATTCTGAACGTCTTCGTGTGCAACCCTTTAAAGGTAAGCTCGTTGTTCCGGAATTCAGTAATGAAAGTATATGTGCTACGTTTGCGGTGCCCAAGGAACACCACACTGATGGTGTACCAGGTGCAGACATGGTGTTGTATGTTTCTGCTCTCCCATCAATGTATCCGCGCTCATTTGCGTGGGCCGTATCATGTGCAACACTGGATAGTAAAAGGGGTAGGGTTTCGAATCCGGGCCGTTCTGTGGTTGGTGTGATGAATTATGCACCAAAGTATATTTTGGCCACGGCCCAGCGAGTCCGCGTTGCTGCACACGAGATTGCACATGTCCTTGGTTTCAGTGTGAGTGAGATGGACAGACTTAAAATGATAAAGGATGTGGGCCCGTTACGGAATAAGGAGAGAAAAAGTGTTACTGTCTCGTCCTCAAATACGTTAAGAGAGACGAGGTCGCATTATAATTGTAACACCACTGAAGGTATGGAATTGGAGGATCAGACAGTGCCACGAGGCCACAATGTTGCTCGACCACGTCCTGCGGCGGGAGGTCCAGGTGGGCTACGGGCACCAGGGTTGAGAGGTGGTTTGTTAAATGGGCCATTACCGCCAAATTCTCCGCCAGGGTTTCGAGGGAATGTTGAAAGAAGAGGAGGGATCTTGAGAGGTCCCACGGATACGCAGTCTTTACGTACTCCTCCTGGTACTGGGTTACGGAACCCTCCTTCAACAAATCCTGCCGGGACAAATGCTGTAATACATCCGGTCCAACGAAATTCAGCGGGTGCGGGCGCGGCGGCACTTCTTGCAGAAGTTGAAGAAACACCAAATTCGAATGAAAAGGTTGTCGCAGTGGAGAAACATATGGATATAGGGAAAAAAAACAATCTCTTCTCCCACTGGAAGCGTCGCAACGCGAAAGATGAACTTATGGCTGGTGTTGTTGGCGCTGGATATTACACTGCACTGACAATGGCTTTCTTTGCGGATATGGG